TATGGATTGTGATAAGAGTTATATGAGCCCCTAATAAAATGATTTAGAAAAAGAAAAAGAAGATTGTGTGACATGAAACTTGAAGTCTGCCTCAGAGAATATGCTCAGAATCCCACTGCTGTTGCCCAACAATACTTGTCAAATCCACTTTAGCAGCCGATGGGCATGTACTTGGTTTGTCATGTCCTTGGTTTGTCTCAGGATTGTTTTTATATCTAAATCCTGTCCCCAGAACTGTCCAGATAGATTCATGTGTTTTTCCCACTTCACTTAATTAATAAACTTGAACGCAGGGCTCTTGGACGAAAACCCCAGAAGGATTGTTGTTATATTAATCACATAGAAACTGCTAATGGACCGAAATCCTTGTTAGACCTTCTCATCTCTCTTCTTAACCTACTGGTACAAATACCTGTCATCTGTTCCTGAGAGACTGAAAACAGTCGCTGTCACATTTTCAGTTGGGATGTTAGAACCAAGCAGACCACTAAGAAAAGGAAAGGTTCTTTTCCTTAAGAAACGTTTTGCTTTCTGATCACAAAATACAGAAAATCTTCAATTAAACGTTTTTCAGAGAAGAGCAAAGAACCTTGAATGGCCCTTCTCTTCTACCCTTCCCTGGTGGTGCTGTTGGTAAGCATTGGACTGCTCACCACAAGATTAGGAGTTTAAATCCATCCATCAGCCAGCCCGCTTGAGGCTGTATGCCCCCATAAAGATTTACAGCCTGGAAACGTAGGGTCACTAAGAGTTGGAATTAACTCTATGGCAGTGGGTGGGTTTGGCTCCCTTCTAAAAAGCAGCTTGTTTTCACTTCATTCAATCTATTACCATCCTTGGTGACATAAATGGCTATGTTCCCCAAGTGTGACAGCGCCTTGGGTTACAGAGGCTGTTGGCTAGGAAAGCAATACTAAGGGCCTTCCTCCCAGGACTACCGCATGCTTTCTGAACTTGGCATGTGTTCTCCTAGAATGTTTCAGCTGCTTTACGAGTTCAGTTGGTCTGAAATTGTGTTTATTTAACTCTCCCAAGAACCCAAGAAAGAAGAAATTTGCATTTATAATAACTTTCTTCTCAGGCTTCTTGTTCATTCTACAAATTTGTTAGCATGGCTTTGTTGTTAATGTGGTCTGAAAAACCTTAGCCCTACCCTAGACAAAGAACTTGATTGCCTACCAAAAAAGAAAGAGATAGAGGTAGCATCTTATTTTGGGGGGGGGAGGGTTGTTTTGTTTTTGTTACTGTGGAGCATAGATAACTCAACTATTAATAATGTGTTTATTTTACATTAATATGTAGAGATGTGAAAAAAAATTTCTTCAACCTACTTTAACAGTCTGAAGATAGAAGGAAAGAATAATCTGACATTATAGAAACAGGCAATTCTATAATGCTTTTTAATAGTATCTTTATACATCATATTATTCTTGAGTTTAATATGGTATACTTCTAGCAAGTCTCCCTTCTTAGGAGAGGATCATTCTGGATGATCAGGTCTGCAGATTAAAAGATCGCTTAAATGTCTTAATTTTTAAAAAAATTTTGTCTATGTTTTGCTTTAATTGGTATTTAAAGTAGCAATTGCCTTGATGAATAAATAAAACTTTAAGAGCACACAATTTTTTTAAGAACTGCTTAAAAGGAATGACACAATTTTATCCCAACTGTCCTGTGTAAGCTGCCAGCAGGGTCTAGGTAATAAGTCATACTGAACAGACTCTTCTTTGTTCTTTGAAGGCCTATATATTTAGACAGCTTGCATAGACAGAATAAAATTTGAGCTTACGTTAATGGGGGCTAAACTGAATTACTGACTGATGTTGAAAGAAACATTTTTTTAGATGTTCTGCTAATTGAAAGGTGATTACCCATTCAGAGAGGAACATAAGTTAATTGTATGTATGTAGTATGCTGTGATCCTAACTGTCATCAACCCACATATTTCTGGCTGATTCCTTTAGAGACCAGAAATATCAATGATGAGAATGGTCTGCAGGTTGATAATCATAGAAAGAGACCTTCTAACAGTTTGTGTGAAAGTGGAATTAAAAGGTAATGGAATTTTTCCACAAACTTCTCGAAGCCCGCCTGTTGGTTAGTACATAACTTCTTCATTGGTGTCATGTTTGCTCATGCCCCCAGGTCCAAAAACAGTACCTACTCAGAAGTTCAATACCTATTCCAGTTGACCTTGGTCTTGTGGTTGCAGTTTGAAACCAACTTGGAGAAATTAAATATTTCACTTCTGCAAAGAAGGAAGAGAAAGCACCATAACACAGAATTCAAGTTTTGCTTTCCACAGCAGTGTTTTGTATCCAGTCTTCTTTCCTCTTGTGAAGATGGTTAAATCAGCTTATTTTCCCCTGAGCTTGTCGCTAGGAGCACACTTCAACACTAACCTCCATTCCCACTCACAGTATTAATTGTGGTAATTCATCACATGGTATTAGAACCTCCACCTTTTCCTTTTTTCAAATGGTGGCTCTGTGATGTTTGAGTTGCATGTATCAATTTTTTCGTGGCATAAAGGCCATCCTAGAATTAAGTCATTCTCCTTGCTCAGTAACCAACATTCACTCCCAGGAAAACCCTTCTGCTGAACCTCCCAACCTGCTTATAACTATTAGAAAGCTGTTAAAAATATGGACATTAGAGTGGAGCAGACTCAGATTTGGGTCCCCGGTTCCACCATAGACTGACCTTAGTTTTCTTCTTGTTACATTGATGGCCAAATACCACCTTGAGGTTTTCGGAACATTAAAGAGAGTTAACAGATTGTACAACTCTTTTCAGTATGTTTAAACTAGTGTATAATATGTGAATTATATGTCAATAAAACTTAAAATTAAAAAATTAAGTGAGTTAACAAATATAAAGCACTTAACATAGAACCAGCAAGTACCAAATAGCAACTGTAATTAGTGTTCAACTCAATGTGTATTTGCTAACAAAGCGACACATGAATTAGGTGAAACCCATGCCATGTCAATTCTTTAAATGTCCACAGACTAGCAGGGCAGGTCAGCTCACTGTCCCTTCCTCCTATATTATTGTATCCTGTCTCAGAACCTGAACTACGTGCCTTCTGTTGGCTCTCTCGTCCTGATTTGTCGTCAAAACATTTCACTAGAGCTTTTCAATATTCTTTCTCACTGGTTAGGGAATGGGGACTATAGTTTCCACGCTGAGATAATGGAAACCTTGAGAAACCCAACTCTCTTTTCTCCTAAAGCTTGGCCTCTTGGAAATAAAAGGGCCCTTAAATGTTAACTATTAAGTAACCACATAGATCCTATGCAGATTCACCAGAAGTAAATGCACGATCAAGGATGAGCCCAGGGTTTTTGAAAAACCCATGTTTTAAAAAAAAACTGTACTTAAAGAAGATAGTTGAAATATTTATTGTAGATTAATTGCTATGTGTCAGAAAAGTTGTTACTCCACAGAAATGAGTTGATATATTCTGCCTTCTTCATTTAGTTCATTGAACCAGTTGTTGCTTTGCTTGTTGCTAATCCTGGTAGGCAATAGAGGGAGTTAAGGAAGAACTTCAGAGCATATTTTGGAAGGAGTAGATTAGAGGGATTACTATTTAGAAGGATTTCTATAGCACTTGTTTGTACTCAAGAAAATTGAAGTCCCAAAGTTAAACTTGTAGCAATTGCTCAACCTTTTGAAAGGAGTCAAGATTCAGGGGAGTTAACCAGAAGCAAGTGATGCTTCTCAGAGCATCTGGCCTACTGCCTAGGAAGAGTAGCTGTATCCACAAACTATTGGTGGCAACAAGCTGACTTGGAGATGAATGACTCCACCACAGGGTGCCTGCCTGCCTCCTACCTTTAAACGGTGTGATCTTCAACCAGCTTCTCTGAGGATGCGCTGCCCAGCTGGTGGCCTGACTATTTTCCCTTGTGACCACCAGGGGATCAAGTATTTGCTGGGCTAGAAGAGCAAGCCCGCCAGGCGATGATGAAAACTGATTTTCCTGGAGACGTTGGCAGTCAGCGACAAGCTATCCACCAACTAAGAGCCCAGGACTCCAGCAGCAGTGAGTTCTGCACCCTCTGGTAATGACGCAGGGCAGTGGGAGAAGAATGTTAAGAGTGTGTGCCCTGGGGAATGTGCATGGGGGTTGGGAGGAAGATAGAAAGGATATGTGGATCCTCACTTGTCCCCAAAGGTGTTTTAAAGTGTACGGCACGAAAAATAAATAAGTAAATAAAGTGTGTGGCAAGAAAGGGCATGAACTAGAGCACTTGACATAATGCCATACACAAAAAGCTTTGGTATGGTTGCTGTAGTCAGCGGCAGAGGAATAATTGGTACGTAAGCAGCCCTGGGGTTAGGTCAAACAAGAAGAGAAAGTCCAAGTCTCCTAGAATGTTTATTCATAATAAAAATGGAGGGATGCCATTACTGAAATTTGTGCTTGAAGGACCAATTTTAATGTTATACAAGGGAATTGTTTATTGAAAAATATGCTGAAGTAAAGCCCTAGGTAGTTTTTGTGATTAAGACATGGGGGGTGACCGTGGCTGGTTACAAGTTGTTTCCTGGATTGTCTATTCCATGACCTGCCTGAATAAATACATTTTTAATTGAGTTATTTTGTGGAGTGGTTTCCATATTTTACTAATCTTATCCATTGGATAGTGGTTATTATTTGTATGGATTGCCAAAGTAACATATCTGATTTTGTCTCCGTGTTTGGGGGTGGGGGAAAACAAAGGGGAGAGAGGTTTCCATTATGGAAAAGATATATCACCCTCTTTTTATTTTTTTAATTTATGTAGTAGGAAGATATGTATGGATTGTTATAAATTACCACAATGCGTTTGATACAATATTGTCTTACAATAAGCATAGAAGTACTCTAAATATGTTGATGGGGAAATTTTACCATGTAATGTGTGCCTAGCATTATGGAGTTGAAGTCACACTAAAAGACGCTTTGGGCTGAGGAATGAAGCATACATACGTATATAGATCTTTCTAGAGTGTAAATGGAGCCCACCAAGCAACTGGAGTAGCTAGTAGACATTCATGGGTGACTAGCAGGTGATTTGCTCTCATGAAGAAAGAATGTAACCAGTCTTGCCCACATACTACCAGTTGGGTTTTTTATCATGCAAGGAATGGCAGAGGAAAGACAAAAAGCACAGTTGGCTAGGAGGGCTGAGTTTCACAGTTGACAGAGAGCCTGGTGAAACTATGCCCTGTCTCTCTCTCTTTCTCGTTCACAGTCAGGCCCAGGAGGAGGGGATCTCGGTGGGGTTGGGGAAGGACCAAAGTCTGGCAGCTGCCCTAGGCTTGGCTTCCTCTTGTGGTCTTCAAGGTACTAGCACTTACTCTTCCTTTTAGGAAAAACGCCCTTTATTTCCTCTCTCTCTCTCTTTCTTTTACTTATTTCCTCCCCTACCATATAAGTAATAGAGAATAAAATTAATACTCAAAATCCTTGAGATTTATGACCATGATCAGACCTCCCCAAAGCCACATCCTATATCCCAAACTAAAACAAAAATAATTCTTACTTTAGTCACAAGAAATTGTACTTCAACCGTAAGGAAAGAACGACCTGTTCCTTCCATGTAATGCCTTTCAGTTATCCACCAGATAATCTGAAGAACCAACAAAACCGTGAACTTAGCATAGAATGCAGTGTGACAAGCAGGGTGAGAGGAGCCCGTTGAAATGCCTCTCCAAACTACCCGAAGTTGGTTGCTGTGCTCGGTTTCTCACTGTACTGAATAGCCCTTTCCCGATACAGTGACATCGTTTTACTTGTGAATTTACAGAGATCAAGAAAAAAAAAATTGCTGGTGTTTCTGTAAATGTGCCCGGGGGCTTACTGGGAGAGAACAGATTAGTGGGACTTGGAGTAGAATAGTATATGCGACACCCAGAGAAACTGCACAGGGTTAGGAACAGAAGAAGAGCTGGTAAATCGAAGGTGGTGTGTGTGGGAATGAGCCTGGTGTGAGATGCGTGGGGAGGTGTGATTTGAAGTGTTGAGGTGTTTGGGAACCATTTGCAAGGATTATTTTTATGATCATGTGCAGGGCCCAGTAACCAATTTCCCATGTGGTTTGGCCCCGATGTTCTGTACAGTGTGTCCAGGGCACTACGAACAGCCCCCCTGTCCATGCTTTGTATCCAGTGACACATTGCTACAAACAACAATCAGGCCGTCAAAACGTTCGTGGAAAAATTTTGTTATCTTTTCAGTCCACGTTTCCACACATTTTTGAAGCCGCTTAATATTCTAGGAGATCAGAAAATGTTTTTCATCATAGCTACAAATTGTAGTGTAAAAAGCAGCTCAGGATCTATTCATGCAAAAAGCAGAACAAGTGACCAGTTTGTGTGTTACAGGTGACAGTGAGGGTGATGAAGAGGAGACCACACAAGATGAAGTCTCTTCCCACACATCAGAGGAAGATGGAGGGGTGGTCAAAGTCGAAAAGGAGTTAGAAAATGCAGAGCAGCCTGTTGGTGGGAACCAAGTGGTAGAGCATGAGGCAAGTGATGAATGGCTCCCGAGTCCAGAACTCCCCGACCCTTCGACTCTGCCCTGAGGCTTCTGCACTTGTAACATCCTTGCCTCTGATGGTCTCCAGTAAACTGACACTCCGCCTGACATTTCCACCCACCTGTCACTACACCATGTTCGGCTCCTCCCTCAAGTTCCCCACTCCATTCCAAACAGAAGAGTCTCTTCCTTGCCTCTCCACCTTTGCAAAACTGAGAGCTTACTTACTTCCCAAGGTATATTCTGTGCCTGTGCCTGCAAATTTAAGTCAAAAGTGTTAGCTGAGGTGCTACTTTCTCACTGAATGGGCTCCTGCAGATTCTTGCAAGGCAGGAGGGCAGCTAGTCTTTTCTGCAGTGGACATGAGGGGGAAATAGATAGGCTTTCCCTGGGGCAGTCCTAGGTCCTCATGGCAAGAAGCGTTAGAGAAACTGAAGGTGGAGGCAGATTTAATCACTTCCCATATTACTTTCTCCTTCGGCCAATAGTGGGAATCCAAGAAGAGTTATCAGAGAACAGGTTGTTCCTTTTAACAGGACAGCCCGTTAAAGGAGGTAGGGGGCAGGGAAGAGTCTGGTAAACCGTCATAATGAATTGTCTATGTGTTGAATTGCAGGTAACAGAGAATTTGAATACTGACCCTTTGCTTGAACTCTGCCAGTGTCCCCTCTGCCAGCTAGACTGTGGGAGTCGGGAGCAGCTGATTGCTCATGTGTATCAGGTAAGGTGTGTGTTTGGGGGTGGGGGGTGGGGGCAGCGCATGTGCCCTGGAATGTGCACACCAGGTGCTTATTTGGAGCCCACATCGTGCCTTTGCCTTTGCCTCCGGCTCTGGAGAAACCTGGAGTTGTTGCTTCCCCTAAAATTCTACTCCCAGTCTCAGAACTACATAGAGAATCAGCAAGACGTGTTGAGTAAATATGTTGAGTTCGCAGCAGACACACTGCAGAAAATAGGCTCCTTCTCCACCCACCTCCCAAATTACTTAATGCATATTTTAAATAGGGAAACAGAAACTAATATCTTTTAATAATGAAGGCTATGTTTTAGAGGAGAAATTCATGAACTGATGTATTCCTAAGCCCTTGGAGAAAGTTAGCATTAATGAAAGAACAGAATGAGACAGGCTTTTATGTTCTTTTTACCTTGACCCAGTCGCACCTGTGCCTTGTAATTGGTAATGAAAAGGCACCAACCAGCACCACATGGTAGCCTGGATTTTACCATAAAGATGGTGGTTCCTGAGAAAAGTCCTGGCAGGATACTAATGGACCTGTGGGGCTCCAGCTTCTCCATGTGGCCTGCATCTCCTCCTCGGCATGCACTTGCCACCTACCCAGTGTGAACCATGTAAACAGAGAAATTATCCTGAGCACGAATTCTTCTCAGGCTCTGAGGCAGGCTCTGGTTCTGGGGCCCCATTGTTTCTTAAGCCAGCCCAGTGTCCAGAGGGTAGTCGGAACCCAAGCAATGGAATCTGAGCAAAGGTCCAAATGGAACTCAGGAGGTGCTAGAGAATAGTTTGTAGGTCCATTATTTTCAGACAAAAGGAAGGGAGGGCTTTGCCAGAAAGTAGCTTCTAAGAGGGTATTGATTATCCAGGAGGTGGCGTGAGATTGCGAGATTAAAGTTAGGCTCTGTTCTACAGCACACTGCAGCAGTGGTGAGCGCCAAGAGCTACATGTGTCCTGTCTGTGGCCGGGCCCTTAGCTCCCCGGGGTCACTGGGCCGCCACCTCCTAATCCACTCCGAGGACCAGAGGTCTAACTGTGCTGTGTGCGGAGCTCGTTTCACCAGCCATGCCACCTTTAACAGGTTAGCCGGATCTCACTCTCTCATGCTGGGAGCCAACTACTGGGTGTGGGTTCTGCTTTCCCAAGTCAACATGAAGGCTAGAATGCAGAAGCCACTTACACATGACGTTTTGGAGATACAAGTAGTTAAGCTAGTGCATGCACCCACTCCACTAGGTAGCCCCAAAGGGAAATGGATTTCTGTAGCAGGATAACATTTCCAACAAGAAAGAGATGCGTGGAAGTCCAAGGGCATTCTTAGCATAAAAACTAAACAGCGTGTTGGAGGACAGTCTCCACTAATGTCCTAGGAAGGCTAGGCGGAAGGGAACCTTGTGTACTAATCCTGTTTAACTAGGGTCTGTTAGATACTCTTGCCTTTATATTGCCAGCAGTCCAGAGGAGGAGGGCAGGAGGAAATTGAGTTAGTGCACTATACCTTGCCTGGAGGATGCCTCCACCTCAAGGACCCTCATTCTCACAGTAGGACTGCCCCTGCATAGGTTGTACCAAACGCCATCATTGCAATGAAAACATCCATTGGAAGGGTTCACCTGATTTCCAGTGGGTGATTGTGGCCAGTGATTCAGTCTTTAACTCCAAGTGGGTAGACACCCTAGTCTAGCCTAAGAAGAGGCGGGTGGGAGGCAGAAGAGGAAGTGTCCCAAGGATTCAAACTGACCCCTAGTGGTGAACTTGGAGCAACTGGCCTGGTAGAGTAGAAATGAGCTGGGTAAAGGAGATAGACCTGGAGCTTTGCTAAGACAATGACACTTAACTATTCAAAATTTTTACTTCCCAGTGAGAAACTTCCTGAAGTACTTAATATGGGATCCCTGCCCCCGCCCCACAGTGAGGGCCCCTCCAATGCAGAGGGGAAGGACATCGCCTTTAATCCTGTGGTATACCCTGCCGGAATTCTGCTCGTGTGCAACAACTGTGCTGCCTACCGCAAGCTCCTGGAAGCTCAGGCCCCCACCGTACGTAAGTGGGCACTCCGGCGACAGAATGAACCTTTGGAGGTCCGGCTGCAGCGGCTGGAGCGAGAACGGACAGCCAAGAAGAGCCGGAGGGACAATGAGACCCCTGAGGAGCGGGAGGTGAGGCGCATGAGGGACAGAGAAGCCAAGCGCCTGCAGCGCCTGCAGGAGACAGATGAGCAGCGGGCCCGCCGACTGCAGCGGGACCGCGAGGCCATGAGGCTGAAGCGCGCCAATGAGACCCCAGAGAAGAGGCAGGCCCGGCTCATCCGGGAACGGGAGGCCAAGCGGCTCAAGAGGCGCCTGGAGAAAATGGACATGATGTTGCGAGCTCAGTTTGGCCAGGACCCTTCTGCCATGGCAGCCTTGGCAGCTGAAATGAACTTCTTCCAACTGCCTGTGAGTGGGGTGGAGTTGGACAGCCAACTCCTGGGCAAGATGGCCTTTGAAGAGCAGAACAGCAGCTCCCTGCACTGAACTGCACCTCCATGACCGCCCACCCACTCAGGTCCACTGGGTCCAGTGCTGCGCCACTCACCGGCCCTGTCCTCATGGCCAGAGGCCAGCCCGGGTTTCCTGCAGGAGGACCCATGCCTCCCTTGCATGTGGGAGCACGGTGACGGGATCAGGTGGGACCCACTCAAAGCAGCTCTGGGAAAGGAGATAGGCACTCTGGGGCACCAGGCTCCCCAGCCCACACCTGTGGGGCATGCTGATAGAACTGTGGGACCCTGGGATGGCCCACAAAGTTGTGAGGACAAATAAATTAACTTTATCTTTATTAGTCTTCGGCTTTTCTCAGTTTCATTCTAACAAGTGAAGCGATCTCCGAGTCCCGGGGTGATCGTTTTCAGGCATGGAATGTGGAGGGTTGTGCTTGGCTGAGAGGAGGAGGGTGCTCTCCAAATTGTGCTGGCCCAGCAGATTCCTTATTTGGTCCTTAACAGGCTGAGGAGGAATAATTAAGGCATTAAAGGAAGAACTGATGTTGACCTTCTAAATGTCAATTCCTACTACCATAAGGAAGTTATCTAGGGTCCCAAGGGCTCTTTCAATCTTAATTTACATTTTTCAAATGCAAAAGTGGTAAAACTCTTTGCTCTTAACTGGCATTTTAAAACAGAGTAAGTAGTACTTCAGTGAAGGTGCTGACCACCGTTCTCAGTAGAATTCGGTGGTCACACACCTAAGTTTCTCTCCCAGACAGCGCACTCAGGTACATCTAGGAATGTGTTCGTGTTTGAAAGAGGCAACCCATCTTTTCATTTATTCCTCAGTCATGATAGGATAATAAAAGCCCACTGGGGAAATCCAGAATAAAGGTGAGAAGAGATCTCAAGTCAAAAGTAGACAAGAAAAAAAAACAAAAGTAGACAAGGCTGGAACAAAAAAACCCAGCTTGGCTCTAAAGAGATAAAGAGCTCAGGTCATTTCTAAAAGTTTCTGTGGTGGCACAGAACAAGCACAGAACTTTCCTCAGCCTGCACCCAGGGTTGTATACAGTTTAGATAATTATAGCTCTTGAGGTCCAGAAGGAAGTGCCCTAGTTAAATGGTAGCTAGGAAAAAATAACTATGCCAGGAATGTGGACCTCTTCCAATATCATAACAAGGAAACTTGAATTTCTCGCTGACCTCCACAGGTTCAAGGCTGTTTAATAGTTTTAACTGACTCTCACTAAACTAGGGTTCATTCCAGGCAACCTGAAATCCTGCATTTCTGCCCTGAAGAACACAAGTAGGATACATTGAAAACAAGTACTATTGGTCCAAATGTGTCTCTTGAAGACTATCTTGAAATGCCTCATTATATAGGAAGTTTCAAAATAGCTAAGTGCTTATCATGTGCCAGTGATTACTCTATGCACTTTACATGGACTGTCGAGTCATTTTTACAAAGTAGAATTTAACACAAGCCAGGAGCCAGATGCCTGGGTTGGGTACTGCTCAGCCTGTTAATAGCTGTGGGGGTTACTTAACCTGTGTCTTGGTGTCCTCATCCACAAGTGGAAATATTAGGAACAACTCCCGGTTAGCACAAAACACTTAGGGCAGTGTCTGGCACACTTAATAAGTTTTCGATAAATGTGCCTGAGCTGCTATCGTGTCTCTCAGTTTTCACCCCTTACTAGTGGCAATCACCCTCAGTTGGAGCAGCGCTTATGATTGGAGGTGAGGTATTCCTGCAATTTCTGGCAGTACTCCCAGCAAAGGAAAGAACCAAGGGAAAGGCCAAACAGTGAGGGAAACTCGTGTCCTTGTGATTGTATCTTGAGCACACCAGCAGACTGGGCAGTCCAGGACTAAGTCATACAGTCTGCCCTGAGCATGGGTTAGGTTTCCAACTCACCACACAAAGCATTTCTATCCCCCACCCAATGACTACAATCTAAGGCTAGGATAAGAAGAAGGCGCAAACACCAAAAAGAAAAGCTAGTCGTTTATATAGATAGATATATAGATATTGATATATACTGTGTTTACATAGTCCACAAGTTAAATGCAGGTATCCATAAGAAGAGCATTAACAATAAAAATACAATCTGTGTGTAGCCAAGTACAGAGACTTAAAATGGTAAAACAGCAAAAAGGATCTCACAAAAGTACAAATATACAGTACAAATTGATTTATTTAAAACAGTTACAAAAAAGCACAACAAAATAGAGATTATCCTTAGAATTATTAATGCTTTGTTAAAGATCAGGTAGGATTAGAGGGTAAGAAATGGTACTGGGTGGGGGGAGCACCTGACTAGTTCTAAGGCTTTAGATACAATGCAGTTGATTACATATTAATTCAGCCATTACATACTGGGGATAGTAGTTGGGGGGTCGGTAATTTATCTACAGGGAACTCCTACACAAATCAGATCCATCCAGACCTCCCCAGTGCTGTCCTTCCTCTCCTCGTCAGGACACTAAAGCCACCTGGATGACAACATTCTCGTCCTTCTCCACCCCAGTCCCTATCCATACATTCTCCCCTCCCCTAAGGTGCTGTGCAAGCTGAGAGCCATCTGCTCTCTGCAGCTGGAACATATACTGTTTTGGCTACAGGGATCCTGTGTGTGACTAGGAAGGTTGTAGGGGACAGCCTTATTTTAATACTTCAGGTTTGCCAAGAGTACAGTCAGCCTCTTCCCCAACACAATCTGGATTCTCTTGACTGCAATACGAGTATCAAGCAAATGGGGAGATCAACCCTGCCTACAGCAATACCAGTGCTGCACTAACCACTCACAGCTCACAACTACGTGCAAACTCCCTATGCAGGGGGGTGAGTGCAAAACCACTGTGGCATCAGCTTGCTCGCTCGCTTGCTCGCTCTCAAGAACCTCAGTCTCCACGACAGTCATAAAGACAGAAATAAATGCGAGTGTGACAATAGGTAAAGGCACATGGGCTGCTGCCAAACACACTGCAGACAGGAACCCCAATTGAGGCCATCTTCACTGCTGGGCGTTTGCAGTGGAATGGCTTTGGGATCACACAGACTCTGAGTCTGCCAACTACCGGGGGAGGATGTAGGCGTAACAGAATTAATAAAGAAACCTTTAGTGTGAAAAGTGCATTTATTACTACTGTTCCTGCTAGGGAGGCTCAGCAGGGCACACCGCACCCCCTCTCCTCCTCCTGCCCCAGGCACTGTGCATAGTCTGCGAGAAAGAAGAGAGTGGTGCAGCCGACTCTGGCATCTCAAGGGCCAGTGTCACCCTCGGCCCAAGACCAGGCCTCTGGGCCAAAGATGGATCCTAGAGTTGAAAGAGCAACTGGCAGCTGCCAAGACCCAGATGCTTGTTTTATTATTGCATAACTCGGGAGGCCTGGCCTGGCCTGCCCTGCCCCAGGGTGGCTGGAGGAGGAAGGTCTCCCAGCAAAGGGCTAGATTTTCTGACCAACATCCACCTCAGTCCGGTGCAGCTCTTCAACTGTAGTGTACACTGCTTCCCATCTGTAAAGTATTGTAGCTTCAGTGTGACTTAGTCTAAAATGTGGCCTCTTCCCTACTTACTTTGTTTATAATCTCCCGTAGCCAATTCATTAGGCTCTTTTTTTATTCCAGTGGACCAAGGCCCTTCCCCAGTCAGCCCACATCTACCCTTCGTCTCCAGAGTGTTCACGCAACTCTCTTCAATACACCTGCTCATTCCAAGTTTAAATCACACCACCACCACCCTGTGCTTCCCCGTTACTATGATGCCCATTGGTAAAGACCGAAAATAAAATCCACTCGGGGGACGACACCCAGCAAACTTCCAACCCTCTCGCAACCCACATAACTGGAGTTAAATGAACCTCCCTGGGATGCCGACACAGCCCTGAACCTGGATCCCTTCATTTATTTTTCATAGGACACAAGACACTACAGAAGAAAGAAGTCAATACAACAGAAAACACTATTAGGACCTGCTTGTTTCTTCCTCAAGGCAGTGGAGATAGGATATTCGGAACTGAAGGTTTTTGACAAAGCACTAAATCCATATATATCCCTTTAGATTCATCCTATCACCCTTCAACATGACTTTGCTATAAAGTAATGCAGAGCATGAGTCAGAATGCACTGGATGCCTGGATTTAATCTGTATAAGCCAAAGGCTTGGAAGGCCAGGGGGAGGGAAGGACAGCAGGAGGGAAGTGAGCAGACAGCAGCAATGGCAAAGCAGCACAGGCCAAAGCCCTGGCCTTATGACCAACTTGGGACCAAGAATGTAGAAGGGTCAATCCAGGTCGGCTGAGGCCTCTCGCCTCCCACCCACTGCCCAGGTACATGAGTCTTGACAGGAATGGTTCCCCGAGATGCAGGTACACTGTCTCCTCCTCCCAAACTGGCACAGGCAGCTGTACACAGTACCAGAGTCGGCAGTCCTTGCTATCAGTTGGCTTGGGGAGTGTCCTGCCCCTACAAGGGACTGACTGTGGTGGTCTCCTTCAACTGCTCTGGGAAGCAGACAACTTCCCACTAAAATGCTTCTCTGTCAAAGCCACTCTTGTCTTTTGCCAACCCATGAAATCCCTGGCAGGACAAAGGAACATTCCACAGGTTACTTTTATTTCTAAGGCATGGAAGAAAAGACTGACCCAGGGTGGCAGGAGGCAAGGGGAATGCTACAGCTCTGACCACTATTTAAAGCAGTTTCTTTTCCTGGGAGACCACTCTTCAGGAATGACCTCCCTGCAGCTCAGCAAAGTCAAGTATTACAATGTTACAGATCCAGGGCACAGAGCTGCTGATGTTGCATCACCAGGAAGAGACAGAAGAGGAACAGCAGCAGAAAGGTCAGGGCCAAACCTGCCAAGGTCCACTAAGAACTTCTTTCCAGGATCAGGTGGCAGTTTCCAGGCTGGGAAGTCACACTGAACCCAATTTTATTTTACTCAAAGTACTTGGTCTGCATCCGGCTCCCATAGGAACATGCTCAGTTAGTTGGTGGTCCTTGGTGGATGTTTCTTGAGTGTTTACTGTGTACATGTCACTAGATGTAGCTGATGAGCCTTCTTGGGAGAAAGGACTTTTAAGAACCAGTGCAGGAGTGAGCGGCTCTCCCGAAGCTGTCACTCGAGAGCTACCCCAGGACAACCCCACAGGCCATCATTATAGGAGACACACCAGAGAAAGCAGCATTCAGAGCACATGGGGAAAGAGGAAAGGACGTGATCCCAAATGCAGCACAAGGCTGAGTGCTTAGCAGACAGGGTTGGTGTTTGGTTCTGATTGAACCGGAGCCTTATGGACTCGCAGGCAGGTCAGTCGCTTCCTTTGGATGGGCCTCCAAAAACCGGACTGACCAGATAGATAACTAACTGAGCTCAAGAAATGAAACATTGGAGTACAGGGCTTGTGGCAAAAGAGCCCGTTTCAGTCACTCTGTTCCCCCAAGGAAAACAACCTTTAGCACCTGAACACTAAGAATGACTCCATTCTCAGAACTCCCCCTCCCCCCAGGAGGTAGGTAAGAGTATTCATCCCCATTTGGCAGCTGGGGAGGAAGTGAAAGAGTGAGAGGTCACAAGACTTGCCTTTAAGTCATTGACAGAATAGAGATCGGACCCCAGAGGTTACAGGCCAGCAGATACCAGGATCCATACCCTGGCAGAAGCCTAACCAAAGAGCTGGGTGGACAATACCCTGAGTCGCCTTCAGGAGTCTTAAAGACCCACAATAAAACCCACCAAAAAACCACTCACCCACCAGATAGAAGATAGGGGAGCCACATTTCCCAAAACCCAGTGGAATCCCACAGGTTGAGCTGATGCTAAAAGTTGTGATGAAAATGTTGGCTTGAAGACATAGGGGGGCAGATTCAACTACGACTGAAAATACTTTTCACATCGGTTTGCTCGACCACAAAAGGAAGTCGAAGACGCTGCAATGTTATCAACCCTATCCAAGAACCTTAGAGTTCTAGGCTAGGAAGTCGCCTGGAAAAACCTGGTTGCTGGGAGGCAGCAGAATAAGAGGAGAGGGGCTGTGTAAGAAAACCAACATCGGCATTGCCCGTCCTGGCGAACATGCCCTGCTGACTAGGGCACAGTCTCCTTATTTCTTCACCAAACTGCTCCAGGGCAGAAGAGGACATGATTCTGAGTGTTTAAATAGAGGCTATAGATGGAGGGGAAACCAGAGAGACCCTTACACCTCAAAACCTAGAGACCTTGGTCACAGAGGGCAAACCAACTTTACAGAAGGGAAAGGACAGTGCAGCTAGGGATTAAGCCCAGGTCAAGACTCCATGCAGGGAGGTTAGGGCAGCAGACAGAAGGGGGCAGCTGCAGGCACTTAGGCACAACAGAGACAGACAAAGGAGAGGTGTAGGAACCTGGGGGGAAAAGGTCCACTGGTTCTTTTAAAAATCACCATTACCAATTAGAGTCACTGAAATTTTGAAGGTCAGGCATGTCAAGTAGGAGGAGCTAGTAGGTCAGCTACCTTCCTAGAGGCCCTGCCTTGAGCCGGTTAGCCCAGCCACCATGTCTTTCTTAGATAGCTCCCTGCCAGGGTCCCAAGCAAGTCAAGACTTCATTCTGCACCCTGCAGGGGTTCTCTTCCCCAACCCCAAGTGGCTCTAAGCCCAGTGGGAGGAATGGTGAGGAGAGATGGGGAAGGGCTAAAGCACAGGATGGAGCCATCCTGGAGAGAAGCGCTCCTTGCCCTCAAGCCCAGCCACAGGCGTCTGTAACAAAATTACCCTTTTAAAGTGCACATCTCTCAAAAGAAGGGTTCTGGGTGGGAACCCCCTTATTTCCAACTGTGGGGCCCCCCTGGCCTCCCACAACAAAACAAGAAAGGAAAGAAAACTTCAGACAGTTTAACTGCTACTATAAGCTGTGGATCATCATTTTTGGCTCTTTCTTTGCCTCCCTCCCTTTGCCGCCTGCTCACAAAGCCTGGCCTTGCCCCTTGCAGGAGCGAGGGAATGGGAGGAAAGAACAAGGAGGTCCTGATATTTGGAATGTTTCTTGTCCTGTGCACCCCCTTCCTTCCTTGGCTCAGGCCTGCCGATCCCCATCACAGCACTGAAAGGATGCCGAAGGGGAATGAACAGCAGACCCTGCCTGGGGAAGCAGGCTTCATGCCTCCCCTGCCCCAAATCTCACTGCCAAGAGAGCTATTCCCTGCTCCGAGTGTGCAAATCCTCTGCTGCTCGCGGTGAGGCTCAGCTCTGGGGAAAAGCCCAGTCCTGCTCTGGGAGAGAGGTTCACTTTCCTGCATTGGAACGCCCTTCAATGGACAGCTTCACCTCCTGTGGAATGAAAGAGGGGCGGAGCAGGGTGACTCGTGCCTCCTCCCCTGGCATGCTGTATCTTTGGAAGCTTGGGGCTGGCCAGCAGGCCTGAGCACTGGGCTCAGGCTGGGTGGGCTCTACGGTGTGGGAACCCTCGCCTGCTGGCTGGCTCTTCCCCTCACTGTCACATAGCTCTCTGGGTCCCGCTACTGTCCTCTCAGGCCTGTCTCGGGGGGGACCCAGCTGTCCTGGGGGAGCACAGCTGGCCTGAGAAACTGAGTTACTGTTCAAGCTCTGTAAACTGATAGAGATGCAGACATCGCCCACCTGTAGCCGATGGCAGGGCAGCGAGAAGAGCTGGGCAGTCCGCCCAGGGCTGCAGGAGGACCAACCCTGGCCATACACAAAGAAGGGGTGTTCGGGGGGCACCTCGATGCTCACTTTGCTCTGCTGCTCCCCGACGACGAAATGCAGCAGGACAAATCCAGGCCACTGGCTCTCCTGAATGTCCACAACTGTGCTAGAGTCAATCTTCAGGCCCCCACTCACTTCGGCACTGCGCACAAAATCCTGGGTCTGGAGGTCCTCCACCCGCTTCAGCTCCCCCGTGGCCAGCTGGATGATGGCGCCTTTCATGAAATGGGAGGGCAGATGGGAGGAGGTAATGGGGGGTGGCGTTGGCTCCTTGTCTGAGAAAGTGGCTCTGGCCTGCATGTCCAGACTTGATGCCACCAGGATCTCTGAGCCCATGGGGAGCAGGCCTGGGTCAGTTCCAGTGGGCACCAGGTTGCCATTGGCTACAACCATTGCTTTGGGTAAAGGTCTATGTTTCACCAGTTCCTGATGGGATTGAGAGTAGAAGCCCCGGGCCTGATTTTTCTCCGTCATTTCTGCTGGGTTCTTGGCTGACCCTCGCCCCTCACCCTGATGGTCAGGGGTATGATGGGACAGGTTGAGGGGGCTGGGTTCATCCTTCCTCTGAGCTGCCACCACACGATAGTCCTGAGAAGCTAAAGCGCCAACCACCCGCTGGACCTCGAGGTCAGTGTCTGGAGTCCCCCGGTGTGCCGGCACCATCACCTCCACCCGTGGAGTCTGAGAACCTGAAAACAACTGTCCGTCCACCACACATTCCACCATTGGAACCAGTCCCTGGCCTTCACCCTTGCTGCTGGGGGAGTCAAGGGCTTCGCTTTCCCGCCTTGCTAAATTTCGCTCTCGCTGTCTCTGTCCTCCATTGGTAGCTGCTGCTTCCAGAGCAGACTGGCCCTCCTGAGGGGTAAGAACAGGGCTGGCACCTGCGGGAGGGGTTTCATGCAAGGTATACCCAGCAGGCAGCCTGGACATCTGGTAATAAATGGGCAGCCGACCTGCAGCAAGGTCCAGTGGCTGAGTACTCGAGTGATGTGGCAACTGCCCAGGTGGGGAGGCAGCAGAGGGGGCTTTGTTGAATGGATGGGCTGGGGAGGAAGCCTGTGGGGGAGGGGTGGTTCCTTCTGCCAGGAGTGAGGCATATGGCACAAAGTGAGGAAGGTGAGAGGTGGCAAGGTTGGCAGAAGGAGAAAGGAGGGGACTCGGTAGGAAATTGGGTGGCACAGCATAGGGGAGGCTATAAGGAGACCCGATAAACTGCAAAGAGGTGGAGGGGAGCTGAGCATAGTGGATGGGGGGATAGTGGATTCCTGGATGTTGAATCAGTGAAGACGCTACATTAAATGTGGGAGGCAAGGGACTCATGTTCACTACAGATGGGAGGCCAGTTGGTGAGAAGGTAGCAGGTGGCATAGCCACCTTATACAGCATCCCATACTGGTCCACAGTCAGACCAGCGATGGCCTCAGCTCCATCACCAGGGCCGACTCTGGCTCCTGCCTGGCTCTGTCCGGCTACCACCGCCCCTCGGGACCAGTCAGCGGCATCACTGGAGGGTGTGTGGTTGGTTGAGCAGCTGGTGGTTCTCCCCGTCTCCTCGCTGGTCACGGGGAGGTCTCGTTTCTTTGGTGGAAGGCATTCCTGACTCCTCTCATGAACAGGTTTCATATTGCTTTGTGGTGTTCCTAGAGCCTGGAAGGGGTCGGCTTGCTCCTTGAGGCATCAGAAGGGGCTTCTCTGTGGCTGCCCTGCACCCCCTTCTGCTGCTGGCTGGGGTGCCCACATCTGCTAGGGAACAAATCAGAGGCAAAAAAAAAAGTAACCTAGGAGTAAACCATAGTACCAGGAATTGTTCCCACAGAGGAAGATACTATGAAGGGGAGACAGATGGCAGTGGGGGTAGGGGAGAGGAGGCTATGAGAAAGGAACTGACAAAGATGTTTCCCCCACTCATCCAGCCTAGGGCGTGAAAGATACAGTCAGGGAAACCACAAAGCACCCTGGGATACAAGGACAAGCATTCGATGATATATAAATAACCTGTGGGCTCCCAAACCACAGAGAGACCAACAGCTTCATGATTAGTCATGCCTCTGAGGAGGATCATGACCCATGACTCTTCTGGGCTATGTCCCGTAAGAGCAATTTGATTCTGAAATTGATTGTGGCAATGACTGCACAATTCTTTAATATGATTCAGTGATTAAAAGGTATCATATGTGAAATATATGCCAATAAAACTTTCTTTGTTAAAGAGTGATTTGAACACATGGTTATGGCTGCTGGCTCTTTTTTCTGACGTTTTTCATCTTTTTGCTACCAAAGCCCAATGTGCCATCTTCTTTTCCCTGCACACATGACCTCATCCCCACTTCCTTTCCCCAGCCTAATTTGGATTATGATCTCACCAAGCACAGCCCCACTCTCCAAGCCTAGCTAAACTCGAAGCCTAGCTAAACTCTCTGACTCTTCTACCTCTTATCACCACTCCTTCAAGGACTACCTTTCAGTGTCACCCGTAAGACTGGAGGCCTACTTCTGTATGGATGGAAAAAAAGAAACCTTGTTCCCTAAAGATGTTATGAAATCTAGTATCCACTCTGCTCCACAAAGTATCACATCAAACTTGGGCACAGGTGGAGAGAAGGCCTGGACCAGCTTACTCCATAACTTGCTTGTTTTGCTCCTCCCAAAAGAGCAACCAGCTCTGCTGACTTCACGCAGACTCATATTCCCTCGGCCGGCAAGGCTGACCACATGCAGTGTGCCTTCTTTTGCCAACGTCTCCTTTTCCATTGCACTTCTCCTCTCTGTCCCATTTCCTAACAGTCTGGTTCCGTTCCTCTAAACATGCTTGTTTATTCCTATCCTAGTAAAGAAATTCTCTGCCAGTCCCCACTCCTTACTGTCACCTTTCAAAAATACTTTCGTTAAAAAAAAAAAACTTTTGTTCATTGTCAGACAGCATCTTTTTGGTCTAAACACTTCAATGCCCATGAACTCAGTCACCTCTTTCTTCCAATCAGACTTCAGCTCTGTGGGTCTAAAGAGAGATTTCTAGGATACCTGGCGCTGGTCTAGTTCTCTGCTGCATCACAGATATTTCTGTGCCACAAGGATTCAGAGTATCTGTGTTACCTGAGCTTCCAGTGGTGCTTTGGAGCAGCTGACGTAAGAAGCTGTCTCCTCCCGGCTGGCGTGGGAGCCTAGAAGGCAGAAATATGGATGAAATAAGCAAAAGCTTGCCCTCTGACGCTCCTAGGGTCGTTATGAAAGATAGTTCCAAAACCAAAGAGCTATTCAAGTCCACAACAAATCCTTGCTTCACCCTCTTTTTCCTGAGATGACAGCACATTTATCCTGAATGCCCAGGCACTTATTTACCTTTTTTAAAAAAAGCCATTTCTTAAGTTCTAATTTATTGGAAGGTACTCCTGGAAAATTTATCACATGAGGCAAATTTCATGTTTTTCTTAATACTATATTGTTCATTCTTGACGCACAACGGTTCCCCAAAGGTGATTTAATTCCAATTCCAATTTCAGTTAAATCGACAAATAAATGGAAAGAACGAACATTGTTCCCCTGTGAACAATGGGAAGCAGGGAAAATCAACTTCACTCTTACCTAAAAGCGTTGGAAACTCAGGAAAAAAGAGGTTATTTAAGTGAGAAAAGCAGCACTACAAGAACAAGAACAATGGTTTCTGTTTCTGGGGCAGAAAAAGAGGCCAATGGGGAGTCACCAAGGGGAGTCACTCAAGGGGAAGCCTTATTAACAGAATTCCAATGTTGTTTGTTTTTTGTTTTTAAGGCTCCAGGAAGTGTGTATATATGTACATAAATTTTCGGAGTGACAGCTTGATACCAACTGCTGAATCAGGTGTGCCAGAGAAAGGCAACATTGCCCTGGTCTTCAAGTAGCTATAAATGGGAAAAGGAAACACCCACTAACTAGCAACCTCTCCATCTACAGATGCCAAAGATGTCAAGCACAGAATGGGAAGCTTCACATCTGAAAATGGAGAAGGCAGTAGTGATGAGTACTCTTGAGAAACTGCAGTGTGGTGTTTATATCCCACTGAATACTGCAAGCCTCAATTCAAACTGAAGGCCTGTGTCAGATGGGCCCAAGGCTCTTCTGTAAACACTTATCTCAAGAGACAGACAAGATGAAGAGATAGGAAACTAAGGCCGGGAGATAGATCCCCACTTCTAAAAATATGTACATCCTACACAGCTGGAACCGGTCAAGAATCCCTTTCACTGCCAACAGTTCCAGTAACTGAAAGGCCGTCAGCTTTCTCCTTCTTTCTCCAACAGGAGTTGGGGCCACATCTTCAACCCGAGGGTGATCCTGGTCCCATGCAACAGCCACACTATTAAAGAAAATCTGTCTGGAGGTCATTGGGGGTGGGGTGGGGAGTGGCAAACAGCCTAATGAAAGGGGTGCCACCGGCAAAAGGTCTGCGGGGATGACAACAAAAAGGAAAGCTTGTGTGCCGGGATCCCACGACCAAGCTAAAACCCTTGCCTCTGGAAAGGCTTAGATGAGGCTTTCTCAAGAAGGCAAGGCGTATGACCCCCAACTGAGCTAACGGGGCAGGAGACCATCCTGGGCGCTGGCGCAACAAAGCCGGAACGAAGCTCCCCAACACTGAGGGGTAAGGCTGAACCCAGCCAGAGACACAAAATCTCGGAGGGTGAGGGGTACACCGGAAAGACAGGGGGCCGCTTGGAAGGGACGAGGCTTAAGGCTGCTTGTGATCGCGCCATCCCAGCTTTAACAAGTGCGGCACCTGAAATTAAGATTTCGGAGTTTAGAGAATTGGTGGGGGGCGGGGGTGACCCTTCAAGCCGAGAGGGTCAGGGGCGAGACTCTGCAAGCGACGACGATGCTTCCTTGTTTGGGGGCCCCTTCCCACCCCGCGAACTCGAACTCCGACAGCCGGCCCGCAGGGACGCAGCCGCAGGGCGCCGGCGCCTAAGGTTGCTTCCCCGGCCAGGCTGAAGTGAAACGCGCGGGGGTCGAGGCGCGGCCTCCATCGCTCTCTGTCCGTGGTTCTCGGGGCCCGGCCCGGTGGGGCAACGGGCTCTGGGGGGCCGCTTCCTCCAGAGCGCCACGCTCAGGCCTGGACTTCAGGGGGCTGGCCCGACGGCCTCCATTCGGACACTCACCGGCCCATCTCACGGCGCTCCCCGGGCTCCTCCCTCACGTCCCGGAGCCGCCGCCGCCGCGGCCGCCGCCATCCCCGGCCCGGAGCCGCCCCACACCCAGCGCCTCCCCCCTTTGGCCGGGCGCTGGGAGATGGCGTCACACAGCCCTCCTCCGGCGCGCAGAGATCGCGTCACCGGTCGGCCCGGGAGCGACGACCGGGGCTCCGCGGGAGGGGCGGGCGTTGGCCCCGCCGCCCCTCGGGCGCCGCACTTCCTCGGGTGGGAAGACGAACTCTTTCCTGCCAGGACAGTGTCGTGTGATGGGTCCCCTCCCCCGGACCCCCCAATGATCACACCGTCGCCCCACCTTTAAATTCAGAGTTCCCAAATAGAGCCCCGAGGCGTGGCCCCCCGCGAGCTCGGCGTTCCCGACTCCCCCGCGGGACTCGCGGAGCTTCCCTAGGGAACGCTCAGCCAGCTCTGGGGAGCAGAGGGCCTCCCCCACCCCCGCGGACACCCAGATTGAAGATGGGAGTTCTTACAAACGGGAATTGGACCCTCAGGGGGACAGGAGCGTGAACAGGGGAAACAAGTAATAGGGTACCTGAAAACAGGAAAGCCGCTTGATTTAGTGGAAAGAGGGCTGGTCTATTCCATGAAATGTTCCCTCAACTTTTCGTAGTAATATGAAAACCTGACACATTTACATGGAAAAAAACAACAATTACATGTGTGCTTTGGTTCAACTATGGAAAAAGAAAGTCACTTTAGTTACTCTAGCTAAACAAAGAGTAAGTTTGATTATTAGGGAGACCGCGTTCTGAGTGGAATTTTTCCTTTGAGATTCTGCTATAGTCAGAACATAGCTATTGATTTTTGTTTGTCGGAGAAAGCATTGGCTGAGCGGAATCCGTACTTTGTTGCTGTCCGATTTTAGGAAAGCCATTTGCCCGCTTGGGGCTTGGTTTTCCACTTCTGCAAAATGAGCCTGAGCTAGATGAAGAGATTAGAGTAAAATGTAGATAGAAGAGTTCTCCAAACATTTGTTTAGTGGGGGAAGAGGAGGTGGGGTGGATAGACAAATATGTTTATTAAATGCCAAAAGGCACATAACATCATAGTTACCTATGTTTATCTGTACAGAAAGAGTGGAAGGCTACTTAAAAACGAGTGAACATCGGGTGGAAAGCGAGATTGGTTGGTGGTCAGAAGATCAGCATGTTTGTTAATTAAAAAGAAAAAAAAAAAAAGATATGTTACCTTAAGCAGGAGCCCTGATGGCATATTGATCATGGCCTTGGGCTGCTAACCACAAGGTCAGAATTTTGAAACCACCAGCCACTTCCTGGTCCAGGCTTTCTACTCTGTAAGGAGTAAGCTGTCTCAGAAACCCAGTTTTACCCTGTTACTAGGAGTTGAATTCTACTCGATGGCATTAAGAGTTTTAGTATTACCTTGGGGGTGGGAGGGATCAGTGAAAATATAAAGTGTATTATTTTTTAGATTCCTTCTAGGGAACCCTTAGGACTCAATTTTAATGTTTTCTTGCCCAAAATGGCCACAAAGGAGATTTAAAATGACCAAACACTCTCTCACCCATAAAGACACAAGACACAAGTGGGTGAAACAGTGACTGCTGTTCTGTAGGCATCTAAATCACAGAGGGGTTTGTTTGGTGAACATTATTATCATTCTTCACTGCAGTCTGGTCTCTGTTTAGCCAAGAAGGAAATCCTGTGGGCACTCAGGGAATCCGTTTTAGCGCTAACTGGCATTCTGGTTTTAAGTTTATTACTAAACTGGGTTTAAAACAGCCAGTATAACGACTCTTGGACCACCGGGTGTATTAAAGGATAGCCACTTTCTCGATTCAGGTACTGAGTTGCTTTGGGACAAAGTTGAAAGAGAAAACCCCGGATTTCCTTGGGAGGAAAGTGTTTTTAGCCACCAGTATTGTCATAATAAAGAGAAAGACTTAAAGAGTCTCCGGAAACTCAGCGGCAGCTCTACCCCGTCCTATGGAGTAGGCTTCCACCCAGCTCGACGGCAGTAAGTTTGGTTTTTATTAGCATGATGACGTAGGGAAAAGGCGTGTCTGTTGAAAGACCAGGATGTTCTGATTGGTGAGACACAGGTGATTTCCTGGTTTGCAATTGGAGTTCCAGAAGAGTGTTTTTATCTTCGGTGTGTTTTACAGCAGGATTCTTGAACTCCGAGCAATCCTCCTTTCTTTGGTTCTACACCTGACAGGTACATTAGAGATAAGTTAATGAAGAGAGCCTTCAGATGGAAAAAAAACCAACCAACAAACAAAAAAGGTTATATCTCAGTTCCAAAATCGGAAATGTTCTCTCAATGTTTAGGTTGCCGGTGCTTAAGTTACTTATATTAAGTGCAGGGTCTGGTACCCTGTAACAGACTCAATAAATAGTTGTTGAATGAAACTTCTAAAAGCGATCCCAAGCTGGCAGGCTTTCTTTCCTCAATACTTTTTCTCCCTTCCCTCATTTCTGTGTCTTTCTTGCCCTTGTTGTCAGCTATATCATCTCCATCTCTTTCATTTGAAAGTCTTTTTCTTTCACTGAGGGTTTTGTTTGCCTTCTCTCTTTTCAGAACTGATAAAGTGATCAGGTTGGTTTTTTAAAGAGGTTTTTTGTTGTTATTTAGGGCTGAAAACCAGCTTTAATCTTTTCCCTTTTCATGGATTCCTGTTGAATTGCTTTGTTTGGTGTAGCTTGAACTTCTGTGGTGGGAGCGTCTGAACCACTCCGTGGGAAGAAAACACGGCCGAGGCCTTACTGTGCTGGTGATTCTGCTGCTTAAGCAGGGAGGCGTTTCAAACCACCTTTGTGCATTTCCGAGTTCCTCTTTGGTCTGGCTCTGTGATTTGCTAGACCCATAATACAGACTGGGGAAGCTCAGCAGTCACCTCAACTCTTTTTGAGGTTAAAGAGAGAAAATGGAAGAGAAGTGCTGTGTGTCCTAAGGGGAGTGGGTGGCTTTTTTCACAGTCACCTCCCTGCTTGTATACTTAAGCAGAAAACGAAGTGCCTTACCTCTGAGTGCTAATGGCAGAAACAACAGATCGTACACACGCATCGAAACTATGGGCATACTTTGTGGATTCAGCTTTGCTTAGAAAAGTGATGTTGTCAGGTATTGGCTTATTGCCAATTAGCTTTTCTTTCTTTTTTTTTTTTTTTGTCAAAAGCTTTCCTAAAATGTCCAAATGTGAAACTGTTGTTTTCTTTTTGTTTTTCCCCAAGGAGTTATCTTTATTCTGATAGGCAAGATACAAATTATAAATGATGACAAAATTCTAAATACAATTATTTCAAGAGAGCTAAAGTTTTCTTTACTTTCTAAGTAAATACATTGTTGTTAGTTGCCATGGTGTTGATTTCAACCCCTTTGTGTCAGCATAGACTTGTGTTCTATACACTTCCAAGGCCATCAACTTTTAGAAACAGGTTGCCATACTTTCTCTTAGGCACGAAACTATGTTCTTTTCAAGCCTCTGATTTATCTCCTTCTGTGACCAAGACTGTATCCCCGTTCTCACTGTGATTTGATGTTCTGTGGCCTCTCCAGTTCCCGTGGGGCTTTCTCTTTTAAACTCACTAATTCTTGCTTTAGCAGAAGTCTTGTAATTTCTATATAAGTGGCTAAAATGCCTTTTGGGGAAGAAGATCTCCCTCCCAGAGTTGCCTACTTCCTCAGACACTTGCCAAAGGCTTTCATTTTTTATCAGAAACTTCCTGCAGAATTCTCCAAAGCTACAATAAAAACACTGATGACTGAAACAGATGAGTGAAATCTAGCCCTTATTTGTTTGCATCCAAGTGTAGTTTGGGTGAAAGTTTGCCAAGCATATTAATTTCCCCGTCAACCATCTCGACACGTTTTGTCTCGTGACATTGGTTGCAATCCTCTCAATGTAAGAGCATTCCTCCAGCTTCCTCTCTGAGTTCTCCAATTCCATTGGTGCTCCTTTCCTTCCCAATCCTGCCTTCTGGGCTTGGTTTTTGAGCAAATGCTGCCCTTTTGGTCTCGGATGGTTCATGTACCGGGGAGTGCATCCCTCCTGGGTATTATTAATCACTTTCCAGGTCTCACCTGTATTTGAAGTGCAAGAGTCCTATCCGGGGAATTGGTCCACAGGGAAGCAGAGCAGAGCAGTCACTGGAAATTCCTTACGTGGGGTTTGTCGAATGATTAAACTGGGTGTGGAAAGATTAGAGACTCCCCTCTCCCCCACTTCACTGATAACTCTTTCTGTGGGGAACTTGCTTAGCAGGGTGATTTACAAATTACTTTATATCTACAGTAGGCATTCTTGAAGTTGACTTCCAGTGAAATGATGTTCAACCCTGGCTTCAAGGCTGATCGGCTTCGGGTCAACTTGCAACTGGCTTCCACTCGCCTAAAACTCCTGGAAAAAAAGAAAAGTGAGTAAATGCTGCGGGCAGCACAGCTAGCTGCCTCTCAGCTCAGTGAGCAAAGCATTCTCCAAGATGCTTTATCTCCCGAGACTAAGTAATGAACAACTTTGGAATGTCTGGTTCTGTTTCTGACTTGCAGAAATGTAGCAATGGTTATGGTGGTAATGTCATTTTGATTTCCAAAGTCTGCTCCATATCTCAACAGTATCAATGCCAATATCCTGGCGATGATACTGTACTACGGTTTTGCAATGCTCCCACTGAGGAAAACTGGGCAAAGGGTGAGAGGGATCTCTCTGTGTTATCATTATTACTATTGTATGACTGCATGGAATTCTACAATGACCCCAAAATGAAAAGTTTAATTTGAAAAGAGGTGGCCAAAGGTTTAAATAGAAAGTAATCTCCCCAGGACCAAACATCCCTCCATCAAGGCGACAGACAGGATCTAGTCAAATGTGCAGTAGCTGTGACGCTTGGGCTCCTGCACATTTTCCAGGAAGGGCTTGCTTACCTTTTTCCAAATTGGGGTGGAGAAAAGTATTTCCTTCTCTCGGGTGGAACAGCTCAAAGAACATTACACCCTTGAGTATCGGTGGCAGCTGACAAGTGTTATCTTCTTAAGTCCAACTTTGTTTTCAGTTGCCTCTTACTCTTTCCCCATTCCAATGGTCACATGAGCCATTAGCCTCTCAGTACACTGAAAAACTGATGATCTCTCATTATGCAGGAAGCTCAGGTGAAATAAGCATTGCATTATAAACGCAGTTCTCTTAGTACTCAGTAAATAGCCCTTATTGAGTTATCATAATCTTATTGAATTATCATAATTCATTTGAAGGGTGGCAGTCGTTACACTTTCTAAGTGTTTTGGGGGCATTCTTTTGCTTTCGGGTAGCCAAGTCTTGAAGAAGGTGTTTGGGCATTATTTAGATGATAGGGGTCTAAGGAGGGTACCCCAAACAAATGAAAAAATATTCAAGGTCTTTGTTCTATTTTATTTTCTAGATCAAGAAACTCACCCAGAGCTAAATTTTCACAGGAGAGATTTTTGTGTCACCCCCCCCCCTTGTGCATGGTGATATATAATGCAAGTCCCAACTGCCTCTTCACATCATGCCTGTTCTATACTGCCAGCCTTTTACTAGTCTTGACAAAGCGAGAGAGCTTTCAAATTGCTTACATAGACCCTTGCTCAGACATTAGTTACTTGCGGGTATTCTTCATCTTGCAGGTATAGAAGGAGCGCCACACTGAAATAAGGCGACCGATTTTCTAGCCATCCTAAAGGAACCAGTTCCTGAAAATCAAAGTAGAATGGTTTTGTTTAGTAATAAAAAAACAGGCCTGGTTTTATGGGCCTGCAAGCTGCACCACACTTAATAGGAATCCGTGCTTGCTTTAATGATGTATGAAATTAAGGCAAGTACAGTGATACCTATTATTGTCACCATGAACGATGAAGATGATATCGATGACATACACAACAATTGTAATTTTAAAATTCTACACCCACTTTTAAAATTTGATGCTGGCAATCCAACAAGACAAGTTCAAATTTTCTATCTTCTTTTTGCATATGAGGAAATTTAAGGATCATGTGCGGGAGTGATTTGAGGCCCATACACCGTGCTTGTCATGTCTTATCTGAATTTCTTTATTTGTAAAAAAGGGATAATCATTTTGAACTTCTATCGCCCAGGGTCCTATTTATAATATGGACAGTTCTATGGGATCATAAAAGAATGTCTTCATGGCTAGTACTGCCAAACAGCAGTTCAGCATTTATTTGAAGTCCATCTATTGCTGCTGCTGCTACTACAACTACTGTGATTTCTTTTCACTGAGCTGTGTAGTGCAAAGAACATTTGGACTTAGTTGAGTTCTCTTCCAAGCCCCGAGCTCTGTTTATGTCAGACTCGAAGGCAATGTTTTGTCACAAGTTTTTCTCAGTGACCATTCACGGTCAGATTGTGAGCACCAATTTTGAGCTATGCCATTCAGGCAGAGTATATCATTTGGAGGCTCAGAGAATTTACTTGGCTTGTGGAGAAGGTTGTTTCTTCAGGTCAGTTATCAATTGATAATACAAGGCAGTAAGACTTCACTTGTCTAGGATGGTTTACATTTGTTACTTTTAACCCACAACTCTGCTTGTCCATACTTTGGCTCAGTGCAGTGAAAAAGCATAGGAGTTTGCAGCCTGAAAATTTGACGGTTAGTTCCAATTCAACTACTAACTCATAACCATCTAGCTTTTCAGAACCTCAACTTTCTGGACTCTAAATGCAAATAAGGACACAAACCTTACACAACTGCTAAGAGGATCAAACAGAATTTTACATGAGCGAATTTGTTCTGTTTTAATACGAAACACTACATACACCTTTATTTTAAAAAGAATCTTTTTATTACAGCTGAAAAGGGAACATGATGCTTAACCACAAAACTACCATCTAGAGCAGTGGTTCTCAACCTTTAACTAATATCAGAGTTTCCAGCAGGGCTTGTTGAAAAATAGATTGTTCTGCTGCAGCCCCCGGGGTTTCTGATTCAATGTGTCCAGAAAGAGGCGCCATAATTTGTCTTTTCTTTTTTTTTTTTCTTTTCATAATTTGTATTTCTAACAAGTTCCCGGGTGATGGTGACATGGCTGGTCTGGAGACCACTGACTCCCCGTAAAAACACTGACCACTTGTCCTGTCTACACATAGTATATTTTAAGTGTATATTTTTGTCTGTTAATTGCTTTTGTGCAGCCTACTTTTTCAATCAGCAGAACCATTTTAGCTCATTTGTTTTTCTATACATATTCTTTGTGCTGCAGCCGAGCAGACCCAGAAAGCAAGGAAGGAAATCGCTGACTATCTGGCTTCTGGGAAGGATGAACGTGCTCGGGTCCGAGTGGAGCACGTCATCCGGGAAGACTACCTTGTGGAGGCCATGGAGATTTTGCGGCTGTACTGTGACCTGCTGCTTGCCCGGTTTAGCTTGATGCAGGCCACCAAGTGAGGTTTTTAACCTTGTATCATCTCCTAGACTGAAAGGAGTTGTCACACTCTTCCTGTGTTCAGAACCTTGTCTCTACGTTTCATAGGGAGAACGAGTCCTATTCAGAGAAAAGATGGTGGGCAAAAGAGGCATTTTCAAATTTATGTAACAAAACATTTTCCATTTCATTGTTGTTGTTCTTCCACGTGCAAGTCATTGACCTTAATATGTTCACTGTGTTGTTCAATCATCATCACCAACCCTTTCCAAAAGTGTCCCTCACTCTTCACAGAACTCAGTGCCTGCTAAGCAATGAGTCCTCCCTCCCCTCGCCCTCCTGTTCATCCCTGGTTACCCCTGGTTTCCGTATCCTTGCCTATTCTAAGTCCTTCATAGATGAAAGAGCTATTTCTTAAAACCCTCATGTTATAAGAATATCGCATCAATTCGGTGACAGAAGAGTTACAAAGTATAGCCTGAAACCATCATTGGTAACATCAAAACCTCCGGAGAAGCATCTTTGGCTATTCCTTTTCAGTTGATGATCCTGATACCTGCGAGAACTGGAACTCGCTGGGACTGCCTTGGTTTTTCCGGATCTCAAATGGTTCCTGCCTTTGACAGGGTGCGGCCTTACCATATTCCTCTCGCTCCTTTTAGGGGAACAGTTTTGCTTTTTACCCACATTCCAGCTCTGGCAGGTTTTACTGTATAAGGGGCTTCAAGAGTTCATGGAAAATGGAATTAGAAGATAAGGCGCTTTCCCACCAACTTTTTGATGCTTACTTGTAGTATCTGTTTATATACATATGTGTACAGAAGTATATATGTATTTCCCTATTATAATTCCAGTTAAAAAATATCTAGCATTGTATTTTGTATATTGTCTATAGGTCCTCTTTGAAGTAGTGAGAGGAGGGAAACATAAAGCCCCAAATTTGACATTTTGTGCTTTCCTTAGGGAGCTGGATTCTGGTCTAGCCGAATCTGTGTCTACACTAATCTGGGCTGCTCCTCGACTCCAGTCAGAAGTGCCTGAATTGAAAACAGTGAGTTTGACCAGTTTAAATGTCTTCCCCATGGCTGTGGATAAGGCTGTCGCTCGCGTCATTTGTGTGGAATTTCAGAATTATTTGGAGCATCTTCTCCTGAGGCCTGATGGCATAGTGTATTATGTGAAAGGGCGGCAGTTTGAACCAATGAGCGAATCTGACGGAGTCAGATGAGCGGTTCTGCTCCCGTAACAATTTTCAGCCTTGAGAACTCAAGGGAGCACTTCCGTGCCACCCCGTTGGGTTGCTCTGAGTCAGGGTTGACTCAATGGCACGAGACTTCTTAACCAAAAGGGTTTTGTCTTTGCTTGGTCTTGAAAAGTGAAAAATAAATAGCTTTTTAAAAATATGACAAAATAGAAAAATGAATAAACCTTGAAAGGGAGAATTTAAAAAATTGAGGGGGGCGTGTTTAAGGTATCATAATCCATAAGGTATGAAAATTAGAATCTTTATTTAACAGATTATTTAAAACAAATCAAAGCATTTGGGGGAGGTGTTGCTGTCAAAAGAACATAATTCTCATGAAATCAGTTGGAAATTACATTCTTTTTTGTTCTTAATCGGAAGTAAATTGTCCTAACTTTTCTTTCTTTTTTGCCCTTCTTTTCTTTCTTTGTTTTCCCCCCCTTCTTTTCTTTCTTGGTGATGGTTTGCTGCAGGTATCTAATCAGCTGTGTGCAAAGTATAGCCAAGAATATGGTCAGCTCTGCCGAACCAATGAGATTGGAACAGTCAGCTCTCGGGTAGTACCATTTCCAGAGATGCATTTTCCTCAGCCACCAAGTCTGGGGAAAGCTGAGCAAACTTAAAACTTGTTACTTTGCACAGAGTCAACGACCGTTTTAGAAATACGTTTTGCACTGGAGGTAGAGCAACTTGAATCAAGGTCTTGGGGTAGGAATTTTGAGCCCAAAACTTTATCAAAAAAGTAGAGCCATGTAAACTGAGTTGATTTATTTTTAGTTAAGACATTTCTCTCAATGTAACTGGTCTACTAACATGAAGGAAGCTAAACTTGAAAGTTTCTGCTTTAGAAAATATTAGATCGTGACCACACACATGATTCTGAGATTCAGCTGAGACACAGAAACCTGGTCAGAGCAGAAATCTGGCCACTCTGGCAGGCTGGCGGGCTTTCTTGTCCTTCAGATTGTCCATGCTCATTGATTAGTGCCCTAATGTATTGGCTGCTCCATACATGGAATATTTCCCCTGACCTAATTTAAAATGCTTATCACAAAATCAGAATTCTTGATTAAAAAATTATTTTTAATTTGTTTACTTCCTCTTCCTCTCTTTGGCTTGAGGTTTCTCGGTAGAACTGTCATCTGATAGAAGTACAATTAAGTAGCCCATTGAAGGAGCTCTGGTGACGTAGTGGTTATGCACGGGCTATGATCCTCACAATCAGCAGTTTGAAACCACCAGCTGCTTTCTACTTCTGTCAAGAGATATAGTCTTGGAAACTCATAGGAGCAATTCTATTCTGTCCTGTAGGGTCACTATGAGTCGGCCTCAACTCAGTGGTACTGCGGTGTTGGGTTTTTTTGGTGGTATATTGACAAAACAGAGCTATTTCTTGTTGTGGCTAAATCATGGTTTTGTTTTTTTAATTGTGCATTTCAAACACCAAAGATCAGAAAAATTAAGACTAATGATTTAGAATCAAAAAACCATCTCACGCTTTTGCTTTTTATTTTGCAGGCACATGTGACCAAATCTGTGTCCTCTATTTTACAGCTAATGTGCAAGTTAAACATGGACATGCTACCCCAAGGCCTGGTGGAACAATACCTGATAGAGATTGCTAGGAACTACAGTGTGCCATATAATCCCACAGTTAGGGTAAGTACTTTCACGAAGGGACAACTGACTTAGAGTTAAGGTCTTTACTGCACCCCACAGGATGTCTTTTATTAGGTATGTGGCTGCCCGAGGAGTTCTTTTTGGTGAGGTTTTATTCCTTCACGTTAACAGAGGTTGACTTCTGATAACTGTCTGTTGGCCCTTTCAAGTTGTTAGCAAAGAAATAAAAGGACACCTAAAGTGTTTAATCCAGGAATGTGTAAAACATTTTGTTTTAGTTTTAAAATTTCTACTTTGTCCTGGTGACATTTTGTATTTTCATAAAGAGCGCCTAGAATAAGGGCCACAAGACTCAAAGTTCCGAAGCTGTATTCATGCAGTACTTGTTAAGGGTCTAGTGTAGTACAGAGATGATCCATTCTCAGATCCTAGTGTGGTCATTTATTTACCAGGAAACCTCTGGCAAATGATTCATGCTCTGGCAGACTCCATTCTCTGGACTGCAAAAAATGAGGATAATTATAGTTGTCGTGATGGCTACATGAGCTAATCTATACAAGTAGCTTAATGAAATGTGGGCACATAGCAAATACCATTCTGTTTTGCTTTTTATGATCATCATTGTCATTAACCCAAGGTAGATTAAGCTTCCAAAATGTGGCCATGGATTTGTTTTAAGGCAAGACTTTGTCTCTCGAATGCCTCTCCAGTAATTTCCTGTGAGGAGCTATATAGTTAGTGATCACTAAGGCTGTTTCTGGTGACTTATTTATAGCAGGGGCCCTGGTACTCAGGTGGAAACTTTGGCTTAGTGTGGGCATGCTTAGGATGGAGCAGGAGTCTGCCCCAACTTCCTCATTCCTATCCTGTTGTCTTCCGCTGTACCAAGTTGGATTATGGTTAAAGTGCACGGCTTTCTTTTCTGATGGTTTCCTGATAGGAACCCTATTCTTTTTACATAATGATGGTTTTTAAGCAAAGCACTGACCTAATGGGTTTTAGCCTTTATGAGCCACTCAGCTATTTCGCTGAAGGGTGGTATCGGCACATGGGCTCAGTTCTGGGTTTAAAGAGTGTCTCAGGGCAAGTGTGTCAGGGAGTCCTCTGTTTGTTACTGTTCCAGTTTGGCCTTCATTCCTCATTCATCTCTCATAAAGTTCGATGCTCTCTTGAAATGTTACATATTGTAAAATTTTTAACAAGACAGACAGTGACTTTGGAGAATACAAGCCACATTAAATGTCAATAGGGATATTTCCAAGGGCTCACCTGTGGACTACTTCTCTTTCTTGCTTACTCTCTAGATCAGTGGTTCTCAACCTGTGAGTTGCGACCCCTTCGGGGGTCGAATGACCCTTTCACAGGGGTCGCCCAACTCATAACAGTAGCAAAATGACAGTGATGAAGTATCAACGAAAATAATTGTATGGTTGGGGAGTCACCACAACATGAGGAAAACTGTATTCAAGGGTCGCTGCATTAGGAAGGTTGAGAGCCACTGCTCTAAATGCTTTCATCCAACTCCATGATCTTCAATACTATCTTTAAGGTGAGGCACCTCACTACTAAGGCCTCCTTTCTGAACTCTAGTCTCCGATATCCACCCGCCCTTTTGACATTTGGATGTTTCAGAGGCATCTCAAACTTGGTATCAAAAAATGTGCTCATGATCTTCACTCCTTCCGAAAACTTACTCATTCCAGAGTCTTTCCCATCCCACCTCAGGTGATGACAATGTGATTTTTTTATGTGATATCTTCCTTGACCCTTCCCTTTCTCTCAACCCCGCTACTCCTCAGCCAACCTGTCAGCAAATCCCATTGATCTGATCTTCAACATATATCTAGAATTGTATCACATCTCCCTATATTTACATCCGCTACCTTGGCCCAATCAACAGTGACCTGTTGCCTGGACTATTGCAATAGCCTCTGCGTGGGTTTTTCTTCTTCTACTTCTGTTCCCCATTTGTTGATGCTCAGTATGGCAGTCCAAGATCCTGTTAATACCGAAGTCAGATCATGCCACTCTTGTGCTTTGAAAGCCCTCCAATACCTTTATATTGCATCTAGAATAATAGTCAACGTCCGTTAGGCTGCCCAAACTCACTCTCCCTCTTCCTCTGATCTCAGCCTCTCCTCCTCTCTTCCCTTCATTTACTCTGCCTCTGCCCCACTGACTTCCTCGTGATTCTTCAAACATACAAGGCACGCCCCACCTCAGAACCTTTGTACTTCTGGTTTCCCTGCTTCTTTAGATATTTCCTTGGTTCCACCTTCACTTATTTCAGGTCTGTACTTCAATGTTCCCTTCCTCTAAGGCCCTTCCTGGCCAACTTCCTCCTTGCTTCCTTTATTGCCCTTATTTATATCTAATATGTGCTATGATATCTTAGTTATTCATTTAGCAACCTCCCCCACTCAAACATCAACTCCAAGAAGGCAAGGATTCTCACGTGCTTTGATCACTTGTGTGTCATCACCACTGTGCTTGGCATATATTGACTTGTGTTAGGGGGTCAATAAATCCAGAGTTTACCACTACTAGAGTTTGATATCACTACCTGTCAGTTGGTTAGACTGTGGCTGCTTGGGAGTTACTATGACGCTGGAAGCTATGCCACTGGTGTTTCAAATACTATCAGGGTCACCCATAGTGGGTAAGTTTCAGTGGAGCTTTCCAACTAAGAGAGACATAGAAGAAACGCCTAGATCTTTACTTTTCTTAAACAAGAATACCTTTCTTGGCATATACATCATATATCGTACAATTTAGTTGTTCATTCGTATCAAGACGTTTGTGCAACCATCACCACAATCAGTTTCATAACATTTCCTTCTCATACTTGCTATTAGCTCCCCATTTCCGCCATCATTCCCCTATGTTAAAAAATTAGCCTCACCTCACCTCTGTGGAGTTTGACCTGCCATCTCACTCAACCAATCCCCTGGTCCACTCATGTTTCATTCACCCACATGGCAATAAATAAAAGCCACGGCCAAGAGTAGTGAGTCTTTACTAATACAACTCTTGATGCATGAAGAATTCTATTTTGGGATCACAGCAGAATACTGTTCAACTCTCTTGCTGTAGACACATCATCAGGATAAGTCACTAGAGTAGAACATCATGTTTGGTGAAGTCGAGGGCCAATGAGGATATGGGAAACCTTTGGTAAGATGGATTAGCACAATTGATGCTGTCATTGCAATGGCGGCCCTTGTGACGTTGACAAAAGACTGGACATCTTCTTGTTCTATTGTGCACAGGGCTGCTCTGCAGCTTACACGAAGTTGACTGCAACTAACCAGGATAACAAAATGTGACAAACCTTCTTACAGAATGATTATTCATATACGTGTATAGCTATTAATCACCAGTGTACTGCAGTGATTGACCCTAGAGATTCTAAATGCATAGACACCGGAAGACAGAGAGAGATGAAGTATGGGGCCTGAAAAGCTTGAAGGTTGCTTGTAAGTGGCATTGACTTACATTAGACTAGATAGTGGGAAGTCAGAAAGCTTTGCCACAAAATCATAGAAACCTTTATTACACATCTCCGTCATCTAGGTTTGTGTTTCTTCCTCTCTGATCCTTCCCTGAAGAATTCTATGTCCTTCCCTTTACACCACATCAAAACCACAGTTTTTGCACCCTTGAGGGTCTCTGGTCATGTTCCTTCTCAATGTTTTTTAGTTTGGGCAACAAACTGGAGTGTGAAGAAATAATATCATAGTTGTAGGATGGATGGGATAAAGTTTCTCAAAACTCTTGAAGAATGAGTAGGTGCTTTGTTGTGATGGGAAAAAAAATTCCTCTGCACAATTTTCCTGGCCTTTTTTTCTTCTCAGTACACTTTTCAATGTTTTTAAAACTTCATCCTAATAAACCCTTATGATTGTTCTATGTCCTTTGAGAAAATCTATCAAGATTACCCCTTGGGAATCCCCAGAAGTTACCATTAACTTCTCTGATTTTAATTTTCAATTTTATTTTTGTGAATTAGGTGAAGGTTTACAGAGCAGATGGTAAGTTTTACATGCAAGTATTCATACACATTTTGTGTCAGCTCACTGATTGCAATCCCTCAGTATACCATCACTTACTCTATTTCCTCCTTACTTTCCTTGTTTACTTCCCTTCTTTTCGCCTAACCTTCTGGGTTTTGCCCTTTTGCTCATAAATGGTTCTTTTTTTTGAAAATCTTTTTATTGGGGGCTCCGTACAATTCTTATCACAATCCATACATCCATCCATTGTGTTAAGCACATATGTACATTTGTTGCCATCATCATTCTCAAAACATTTGCCTTCTACTTGAGCCCTTAATATCGGCTCCTCATTTTCCCCCTCCCTCCCACCTCCCTCATGAACCCTTCATAATTCGTAAATTATTATTTTGTCATATGTTACACTGTCCGATGTCTCCCCCCCGCCATCTTCACATGTAGATTCTTGTAATTCTTCTACCAGAGGGGTGAGTTCAGTACCAGGCCTGAAGGGTAAGGACTATAGTCTTGGCAGTCCCACCAGTTTCTATCCAACCAGTAAGCTTGATCTATTTTATGATTTTGAGCCTTCTTCTGTATTTTTCTCCCACTCTACCTAGGACCTTCTAATGTGATCCTTTACTGAGCAGTTGGTGGTGGTAACTAGGCACGATCTGGTTCTAATCTCAGGATCATAGAGACTGGTCATGGTGGTGGTAGTGAGGCACCATCTGGTTCTGGTCTCAGGGTCTTTGCATTGGCCCATTAGTCTTTCTAATTGTTTCTATAAGTTTTTTTCTTTTTGCAATTTTTAGCACTCTTCTTTCCTCCAGATGTAAAGAGACCAATGGCTTCACCCTAGATGATTGCTCATGAGCTTTTTAAAACCTCATTTCCCACTCACCCAAGTAGGATGTATTGTCTTTGTGAACCAAGTTATGTCAATAAGTCTTACTGTCCCCTGAGATCACCATAACCTTCTAACCTGACCTCTCTGCCTTAAATTTAACTGGCCTAGCAGATCTCCTGGGGAGCCACTATTTTGGTTGTACCTGTTTTTTAAAGTCATCCTAATGAGACTAAGACAAGTATATTACCAGAGAGAGCTTGTCTGCAGCCACCCACTGGTTATAGAGACATGTTTAAACGTGCTTTGTTTGAAATAAACTCATGCATGGATGAACTGGAACCTCATTGCAGTACATTTTTTCCCTTACCCTCTTTGTAAACTTCATGAGGTAGGGCTCATGTCTCTGCCCACCATTTCTTCTTCAATGCTTCCAAGAGTGTTTGGCATTTAGTATGCATGCAATAAACAAATGTATAATAAATTTAAAACTCAATGTGATTTTTACTCTCTTTCATCAGGGTGAAGCTCCAGCACACCTGATCAGTATTGGATTTACTGGGGATGTGAAGAAGGATGCTCTAGGCAGAGGAGATGGTACTATAGCAAGAAATGATGATCCACTTGGAGCATCACCAATAGCTACACTAGGGCCCTTGCCTGCACCATCCCAAGCCTCCTGTTTCTCATCCATTCCTCCTGAGAGAGAGGTTTGTGTTTAGGAAACCTATATCGGATGATAGACTATATCTCTAATTGGGGCTTTTGAATGGTAAAATGATCTTTATGAAGTCTTTAGGGCTAGGGGCATATTTGCAATAGCTTATCAATCTCTTGACAACACCACATGTTTCATAATTGTTCAACTTATACGTAATATAAACAATTTCATGTTCAAAAATAAAATCCC